AAAGGGGGTGGAGGGAGGTTCGGGGTCGTTTTACTGCCCTTACGTTGACTAACGGCTCTGAGAACCCATGTAAGTGACGGTGGGGTTCGAAGGAGATACAACTGGAAATGAATAAAACATACCAAAAAATATTGATGAAATAATGCTGATAAATTGATGGATGAAACCAAGATCAGCATAACTGCATTTTAAGTTGCCTTATTTTCTTCCATATTGATGGTCAAAATCCCAAGTCATTTTCGAACCGTATTTCGATTTGCGACGTCGCGGACTTCCTGATGTCGTACTTTATTACATAGGTTGTCTAAAAATTAATGCAAAGATCAACTTTTGAAGCGAACGGAAAAAGTAAAAAAAAAAATTGGTGTACATATTTGTGTAGACGAAGCAAAAACCAATAAAATGAGACCTTGTTAAGCTCTTTTGGTAAAAAATTGACCGAGATATGACGTTTCTCCCGCGGCATGCTGAGAGACCGCCAGAATATTAGGGGTAGCTACTTTTTGCAAAGAAAAGAATTAGCTAGAGACAAATACTGCTTCCGTCTGAACAATCGTCTTTGTACACTTTTTTCGTTTCTTTATACGTATATTTAACGACAATACGCGCTGAAAACAATAGCGGATGAAGTAATGTTGTACTTTTTTACCGCTACGTTCAGGGCCGGATTTACTTACTTGCCGCCCATGGAACGCCTGTATTTTGCCGCCGCCTTCTCATTCGTTTTGAAATGTCAATAAAAACCATCAAGTGAACGTGTCGGAACACGGAAAAAAATCAGGGTAGGGTTCGGCACTACCTATGGGTAGTTTTAGGGTCGGTAGTCCTGAGGAACAGAACATGTATTCGTCAACGCTACCTCTCGCTGTCCGTAGCGCCTACCCGCCGCTTGACTGCAACACACACGGCAAGCTTGTTTCCACAAGTAGAATTTCTCTTGCGGAAGGCTAGAATGTCCGGGATGCGTATGCGCCGTGGACTGCTCGACTACGTCATCGTATTCGCCTCAGACGAGGAAAGAAAACATGGCTGCCCCGCGTCGCGTTGCCCAGTCCGGCGCTTTATTTAAAGTAATAGTTTAATACTATGAGGAAAGAATCAACACCCAAAAACTCAGATTTTCCTTAACATAAGCAAGCTGGCCAGGTTGGCCTAGTGGTTAGCGCGTCTGACTCTAGACCCATAGATCCCGGGTTCGAATCCCGGTGGTGGCGACAAATTTTCACCGAACTGACGAGTGGATCTGCAGAAACAGATTCTACTCGACCTTAATCCCTGAAAATTTGAAAGCCGGAGCTATGGAGCATAAATGTTCTAAAAGTCCCCCTGATGCCCGTTGACAATCAAATAATTTCTTTGTAAAAACTCGTGTCTATAGCTAGCTTTGGCTTCCTGAGCAACAAAAAAAAAACAGGAAGAAAAGCCAAATAAACTGCAAGAAAAATTTAAAAAAATAAAAAATTAAAAAAAAAATTATTGAAAAAACTATATTGTGCGCAATGAAATTATGCTCTACGGGTGTAATCAGATTTTTTCGCACATTTTGGCAACTTTGCATCAAGTAGGCTTCAGCCCTGCCGGATCTATCCTTGGAGCCTTCTGTTCCTGTGCCTACGCGCTGCCAGATCTGTTTCTGAACGTCACGGGTCATCTAGCGTGGAACGCAAGCGCGAGGTAGGCTTCAGCACTACCTTGGCTTACGACTGCGAAATCAGGTACCGCGCGGTAGTGTTGAAGGGCAGAAACTAGTCCTCAACCCTAACTCATTTTTTTCCGTGAAGGGAAGGGGTGCATAAGACGCGTTTACTCATGTTGGACACATTTTTTGCGAAAGCCCTGTCAACACTACTAGCAAAAGTTCACGGAACTTGTCGCGAAAGTTAAGTTCCGTAAATCTATCTCTGTGTGCACAAAGCGTTCCATTTATATGAAATGAACGAACAAATTATGAAAGAACAAACATACATGTGAATTAATAATTTCAACTTCTGCCGCCGCCCCGCGCTGACGCCACTTTGTTTGGTAGAATGCGTGAAGTATTCTTACAGTCTTCTATGCGCTAAGCGTGTTTGACGCAATGCGTGAAGTATTCACGCAGTCTTGTAGGCGCTGATATGTGTTACATGCCGACCGCCGCGCCGCGCCGAGGGTTTCTCCTTTTCATCTCAACTCCTTGTCATCATTGCTCTCTGCGCCGCGCCGTTCCAGGCCAAATTCTGTGTTCGGTTTCATCTTTTATAGTCTTAACGCGACTATTTAAAGGTGCTGTCTATTGTATCACAGAAAGACGATACAATTAGAGATTAGATATACTCGTAGGAAATGAGAGATTTTGTCACCTTTTCTCGTTTGTAATTTTTTTTTCTGAATCCAATTTTTCTTTAAAGCTACATTTAAAAAAATTGCAAAATTTTCCGCCCTCTAAATTTGCCCACGTGGCCGACCCATAAATCCGGCCCTGGCTACGTTTGCACTCAAGATCGCGAAAAAGATGAGCGAAATTAACCACGTGACAGACCAGCCGACTTGGTTGCAATTATTCTCTCACACGTATCTGTGGCAGCCGGGCGCTTCGACTGCCTTTGCAAGCAATATTGCCAAACCAACCCTTTATGTTTGCCAACTTTATCTCGAAGTGCATTTCGTAAAAGATCAAACCTTATGTTGATTTTTAAAGAACTGCGAAAAGTGCCCCAAAAATCCTGGAGGGTGTCTTTCAACATGCCGCGGGAGAAACGTCATATCTCGGTCAATTTTTGACCGAAAGAGCTCAACAAGATCTCATTGTATCGGGTTTGACTCCGTTTATACGCATATAACATATGTTTAAAATGTAAATATGATTTTTTTTTTAGCGTTCGCTATAAAAGTCGATCATTGCATTAATTTTTGGACAACCTATGTACGAGTTCTCCACGTCAATTCTTTAAAACCTCCTTGATTATTCTCCCATGTGCGAAGAAAATTCTGTGTAAATTTCAAGGAAAATTGTTCATTTATTTTCCTTCAAAAAATGAGAAGGGGACGGAGATTTTGAAACACCGCAAACGAGATACGTGGTTTGGGAGTTCCGCCACCGATATTCACTTTTTAAGCAGGACGCCTGATCACATGGTACACAAAATTGCCTTCGTCTAACGTGTTTGCCTTCATTCTGATCAAGAAAGTTGTCTCCTTACATCAGTGATACCATTGGAAAATGTTTCTCATCATTTATGAGTTATCTTCGTCATTTCAGTGTCTCAGAGGTAAAAGACAAAAGTAAAACTATCAAGAAATCATGGCTAACTGCGAAACACTGCTGAGTGTCATGTAGGTGTTCAAAGTTGAGTAGTTCTTCTTTAACTGTAGAGATTTTTAGTGGTATCGTTAGTCTACACTTTGCAATAAAGTCCAAGGAACAAAACAAGAAATCACAAATTTCTGGCTCATTCATAAAAGCAAATTCTGCTATAAATGTAGTGATTTGTTAAAAAATTGTTTAGAAATAGAAGTTCTTTATTGCAAATGTTCGCCGCACTCGTCTCTTACTCACAAAAGAATATACCCGTGAATTTGTTAATTTTCACACCATACGACTGGCCAACTATGAACATATCCGCCCTACTTAGTCGGAACGTCATATTAACAAACACAAATAGGACCCACACATAGCATGAAGTTTGTTACAGCTTCGTAACACAATTTCGTGGAAAGGCAGTTTCCATCTCGAAAAATCTATCAAAGTAATAATGTTAGTAAAGTCAAGTAGTTGGAATCAAAAACTGTATTACCTATATAAATTAATACACTGACGAGGCAACCCTGTTTACCTGTTGTTACTGTTAAAGTGAGATGTTGGTTTGAAAAAAAAGAAGAGAAGCCAGAGGGACTCATAAATCATACTCGAGTGTACGAAGAAGATACAGAGAAATTTGCATCATGTGGCAAAGAGGTACAAATGTACTGGAAGGGTCCTCTTAGTTTTCTCAGAAATATTTTTTCTACATCTTAAACACATTTACGAGACTCAGTCAGAGCCAGTTCCGAGACTGTTGAGTTAAAGCTGTACCTAGAATTCTTGGAAACTGTCACAAAGTAAAGATCTGAACAGTTTTATATTTCAGGAAAGCAAGAGGAACGGATTGAGATTTTAACCACTCAATTTCTAAGAATGCGCATTTTGAGCTATAGAGGTGATATATTTAGGGTGCATTTAAGCGATACAAAGTAACGTTTTCAGTATAGGTATACATATAGCAATTCATTTTTTCAAGGGCTCTTTGTTGAAAATAAGGTCGTCCCAAATGTGGGACTCCAAAATGGGTGGTACCTATGATCGCTAATTTTTTGGGGATTTAATAATTAACAATCGCTCAAAAACCTTATGGTTGTGCATTCTTAACAGTCTCGGAAAATTTACTTAACGATCAGGAAAAAACTGTAAAACAAATGAACTGCTCCCCAGATTCAAGTTTGGTAAGGTGTTTCACTTTTTCAAAGGAAATCTTATTTTTTATAATGTATACACTTAAAATTCAATATTTTTACATAGTTTTTTGGCCTGTATACAAAAGGATTTTTTTTTTATTATTAATTCCAATTTTATTTTTTAAACGTATATCTCCCTCAGTAATCACAGCTGATTCATTTTAGCCATTAAATGTTTTGGAGCCCGATAAATCTTATACACCACTACTATATATTTATTTATTAAAATATATTTCAATGTTTAAACAATAGACTTTCGAATCTTTTCCATGAGACATTCTTTCTACTCCCACAAACATCTCACTGAGTGAGAAAAACACTCTGCTTAAAATGTGGTCCAGAAAACATGTTGCCTCCGTAAATTTTTTTGTAATAATCACTCAGACTCCCTTTATGAAGGAAAGTCCTTATCTCCATTCTTCCAACATTTGTATACCTTAGGAGTACTTAATATAGAGAAACGATACATTGATATTTTTTTATGTGAGAACAAAAATAATTATATTTATAAATTAATATGTTATACTTACCAAAAGGGAATGATGCACATAGAGTTCTTTAGTATTCCGATTTTCATTATAAAACAACGACCTGTTTACGAAAGAAAAAAAAATTCTCATCTGACGTCATGCTTGCTTTTTAATTTAGCCTGCTCCGTTTTGCTACTAACCAACCATTCTCTATTTTACCATATAAAAGGAGAAAAATGAACGTAAAGCCAAAACACACACATATACTTGATTTCTTTAACGAAAAATGCAATTGACTATTGTTTCTTATTCTGATATTTTTCCATGTTCTTTTCTTGTTATTAGGTGAATAAATGTGTGGTTTGATCTCTTATCAACTACCTACTGGAAAACAAAATCATGTTCCCTTTTTAGGGAACTTAAATTAAAAATTGCCAAGTAGAGATGATATTTTGTAAGTATTTTTTCCCTCCATTTAATTTTTAAAAAAATAGATGGATTGCTAATGGATTAAAGTAACCAAAGGAAAAATTGAAAGTAATGAAAACTCGTAGAAATTTCGAATAAATCTCCCATATTGAATGAAAATGATCTATTGAGAATTTTTAGGGGACTTTAGCCCTTAGTTTGAATTATTTCCCTCTGACTTCCTTTACGTCTAGCAGTTCTATACTATGTCGTTTTTAGAATAATGTGTCTTGAAACGAAACCCCTACCGAAGTTATTGGATCACATCCTACCATATAATATATTCAAAAAATTTCGCAAAGATACGAAGGCAGGCTATATCGTCATCCAAACGAAACAGCTATTGAACTTTTAAATAATATTAGAGAATTTAGGAAACTTAAGAGGAAAAATCCTTGGGAGCTTTTCACTAACGCTGATTCCGATTTTTAAACAACTTGCATAACTTATTTCTCATCTTTAAAGACAATCTTCTCACTACATCAGATCTTCACTCATCTCACCCAAGTGATATTTATGAATGCCCTTTTAATCTTAGTTAAGTCTTAGGTTAAGTCTCTTTAATTTTATGATAATAAGCAACTAACCAGTCGTTGCTTTACCATACATTATTTCTAACTTATGATAATTGTATATGTTACAATAAATAAAACTCTTCAAAAAAAAAAAAAAAAAAAAAAAAAAAAAAAAAAAAAAATCCTACCATATCAAAACTACTACATTCGCAACAAAACTCTCGGGACGGGCACTGAAAGTAACGCGCTTCCAAATCGGCAACGGAGGTTCAAAATACGCGAGCGTCGCGTGCGAACTGACACGAAGTGCGAGACGGAGATGCCGCCGTCACGAACGCGGCCCGCAGAACACTGTCGCGCAGCGGGCTGCGGGATGCTGCGAGGCGTCGCGCGCGCCTTCAGAGCTCGCGCGCGCAACCCGTCACCCGCACGCAACTCGACGGCTGCATCAGTCACGGCGCAGATTTCGAACCTCCGCCACGTCATGATGTGGAATCAAGCAACTGTTACCCTGGATAGTCATTATTTCCTCAAAAAGTAAAAAAAAAAATCTTCGACAAACCCGCCATCCCTATAACTTACATGATCATTGACTAGTTATGCAGCTGTACACTCCGAATAAAGGTTGAAGTGGTGGCATAAAATATATTCACAGGGTCTTCTCAGGAATTGTTAATTTTCTTCTCTTCCAGGTATTTTTATCTTTTTGCACACACCTCTTAGACCTTGCCTCCAAGAGACGTTTCATGGGATTTGTTTCAAGTTCGAATCGCAGGAATGAAACTTTTGGGGTTAATCCCCGTTAAAGAAAGCAACAAAATTTCTTCCTTTGCTCCTTGAGTCGCTCCTTGAACACCTTAAGGACTCCACTTGGTATCGTGAGTAGTATTGACTAGCTCAATATTTATTCCCAATTTCGCAAGTGCGAGATTTTTCCGCGGAACAATTCCCACGGGACGTTCCTCGGATACAAGGCCTTAAGTTTAGTCTCAAAAGGACTTTTCCTTAGTCTCCATGAGACGCATAGCATTTTTATACCGAAGAAAGCCTCCTTCGTGTTTTCAATCCTTTCTTCGCCTGGAAAATGCGATTAGCCACGGGATCGAATTCTTGTAACAGCAAAATCAGGTTTTTGAATCTAATGTGCCCTCAGGAGTAAAATTTGAATAAATCTAGGGGCATGCGTGTGTTTATAACATTTGACAGAAAATCAGGAATATTAAACCTCCAACCAACCCAATTATAGGGTCATCGGAAAGACCGGGGCTCATCCATTTTAAGTCTTAATTGCAAAGTGGCCAATTGTTTAAATCAATGCAGACCCGAAGCTAGATTTGGGTTGGTTTGGTGGTGATTCCCCTCAGCATTGAAAGCGTAGATTTCTATCATCTGCATGGCACCCTGCGCCTAGCTCTTAAATAGACCACCAGACAAGGTATGAATTCAAGCATTCTAAATATCTAACTTCAAAATCTCATGCAGAACACAAGTAGCGTGACGGTAATGGTTGGAATTAATTTCTGAGATACTGACTTTTTTATCCAGCACAAGTTACGAAAAATTTGAATTCCCCGTTCCTAAGAAAAATTAGAGTCGACGTGCATCAAAACACCCACTACAACGGTTTCGGAGGGCTTTCAGTGAGAGCTCATGGCTAAGAGTCGTACATTACATATTTCCTTACATTTTGTGATGTTCTTTTCTTGATTATATCATTCAAATTTATACCGAAGTCTAATTATGTGGATGCAACGAGCAAGTGAACAAACGTTCTAACTCTTCAGAATATCCACTTTATAAAGTGAATAAATTATAATTTTTCTGTAAGGCTTTCATTGTGTTTTTTTTTTATTTTGTATAGATCCATGCATAGAGTCATCGTTCAGTTAAAAGAAATAAACTCAACTCAAATTACGTTGGATATTAGAGTTTTTTTTACTGCTATATAGTTGAATGATGTAGACGATTTTAAATAATTTTCGCAAAAATTTAGCATGTGCCATGGCAGTGAATTCAATAAAGTCTCTTCGAAGGGTGATAAAAAATGCGAATTTTGTGTATTGCCATTTTAAAATTTATATAATTGTAAATTGTGTAATAATTTCATACAAAACGGTGGGATTTTTAAGTTGGTAAATCAGCTTATGTGAGGTCATGTGTGAGGTCTGCTGCACTCTTGAGGACGTCAAAAATGCTGCTGCATTGCATCAACTCGACTATTTGCAGGCATTCTAGAGGTGAAAAACAATTGTTCCAGAAATTTGAGAAATTTTGCGATTGTTCAGCCTCCTTTTTATTTATCCACAAAATTAACAGAACCTTTTCACCGGATTGTTACCAACCCGGTCTGCCATCCAGTATGGCTCGCATTTGCTAGGGTCTTCTTGAAGGCCTCTGCTGAACCTGCAAAGATACCGTGGCCATTAATTAAATATTTTTGCAAATGGACCGAGTTTAACAGAAAGGAACCAAGCCCTGATTTTTCTCCCGATTTTTTTTCTGCGAGTGAAAACTAGCCCTTGGAAAATTTCAAACAACAGCATTGGTTTGCTATCTTTTGATAAAATAAAAAAGGAGTGGACATAATGAAACACCGCCAGCAAGATACGCGTTCCTGCAAATTCACCGTTATAACCTGCTAATTTTATAGGATATTTGCAACGTTCCAAATTGAGAGACGTAGTTTGGTGCTTCTCCACCTATTTGCACCGTGCTATTGACCAATAATTCCTAGCCTCTTCCCTATGAATATTTTATTATTGACTGGAAAAAATTGACAATGAAAGTGTTAAAACATTATCCATTCTACGAGGATAGGTGTGTAAAATTGTCTTACTGTTGTGCAAATGAGGAAGTAAAAGTTGGAAAGCAAGATACCGCTGGGCATTAAATAATGAAGTTTAGACTTACAACCTTTCGCCGTATAGCGATTGTTGTTGCACTCTGCCGAATGGTATGACAATTCCTGACTTTGGTGGCATGTTCCATGTTCCTGAGAAGATTTTATCCGCACAAGCGTCACTGAAAATATGAAACAAGGAAATTAGAGGTGGCAGTAGAAGACTTTTAAATTTATTGAATTTTTGATCTCTTTCAATCCAGATTTCAGAAAAAATAGTCTCTATATCTCATGAGTAATGCAGTCTCATATACTTCAAAAAGTGATTCAAGTAAAACTGGTTTGTTTTTTTGACGAAACTTCTTGGAAAAAAAAAAATACGATAAAAAACTTGCCGCAAGTGACAGGATTTTTTCTGTGGGGTTGTCGGCAAGAAGGAGGGACAGTTTTAGTCTGCGCATTTACTGCGGCGTAAGTGCATTTTGGGCTTGACGGCACTTGCCTTGCCGTTGAATGGGAACTTGTATTTTTATTTTTCAAGTTTTTAATTGGTTGAAAATACATTTTCAAAGTATTTGAACAAACTCATAAATATGAGTTCAAGTCATGAATGTGAATTTTGAGACAATTTACTCACCCATAAGGACATTCCTCTAGAATATTGACACTGCGAGCTATAGCATACCGCGCTTGCTTCCTACCTATTTCTGGTATTTTCTTCGTAATGTCAAAGGGTTTACTGAATTTTTTGCTCAAATTTAAGAGCACAAGATAGATGGTATTTTTATCGGACCTGAAAAACACAAGTAAAAAAATAAATTAAAAAAATTAAAAACAATTTTTAGATGCAAGTTGAAAATTAGACTCTAGATAATTTTTGAAACTTGTATTGCGTTACACCAATGAAGAACTATGTAACTAATCCAATACCGGATTCATACATTATGAAATAACTTGTTGTCATGTTGACACATTCGATTACCCTTCTTCTATTTCTGGCTCTATTCTTAGGGAGAATTTTTTTTTTCGTATTTTTATTGCATGAATTTATGCAAATTACGTAATGAGGGCTCCTACTATTTTTCCTGTTGCTACTATTTTGCTAGTATCACACCATTAGTGATGTAAAGAACAGAAGTGGCTAAAATAACTAACCAAACAGTTTTTTAATTAAAATGAAGTGATCGAGGTAAGCAATAATGAGGAGCACGTTTCATTACACTCAATTCATTTCATTCAAATTCATAAACATTCCTTTGATGTTTTGCCGGTATAATAGACCCATGCAGTTAGATTTGTTTACACATATGGCTTACCTGGTGAAGGCGTAAACTTGATCGTTGATTACGTAAGAGCTGAATTTCCCGTCCACAATCGCCTCCGTTTTTTTCAACTTTGCTAGCTCCTTGAAGTTCTTCAAATGATTTGGCACCCTGTAGCAGGAGTTCTGATTCTTAGTCTGTGTATCCACGTTTATCAAATAGTAATTCACATTGACTGGGAGCCAAGGTTTGTCATTAGTGGTAAACCCTGAGGACAAAGAAGCAGACGAATATTACGTTATACGATTTGATTGGCTTTTGCATTGCGTGGTTCCATGTAGGTACTGAAAATAAACAAGTGAACATGTTTTTATTGTATTGTATCCGTCCTGGCTTTTTTCATTCAAAAAGTATAACCGATATTTTCTTACAAGATTTTTTAGAGAGTATATTTATGTAGACTCGTAAAAATTCAAAGTAATGACGATTGGTTCTCCACGTAGAAATATATTCAGGTGTGAATTTTGCAGCATTGGGCGCCAAGATGAATGTTCACAAGTCCCACCATTAAAACGAAGTCAATTTTTATTTATTATGAAAGTAATCTGTCATCATGTGTTTATATATAATGAGACGAATTTTCACCTCCAGGGCCGTCCCTAAATTACGACGTAACACACTTTTTTGGCATTTTGGACCCAAATGAGACAGATTATATGGACTCAATCAAGAAAGCTAACTGATAAAACTAATAATAATGATCAGTAGTTTTTAACTTTTAGATGTATAAATTTCGGTATTTCATTTTTCGAGGATGGGGGGAGGGGGGTGTAGGACCACTAACCAGCGTTCTTCTCGATGTTCCATTGGAAGGGGGTGCGGTGTGGAGTACGATAGTCATTACGGAGTATTTCAGAGCAATCATCCTTGTCCATGTTCCAGTAGCTGTCCATACCAATTTCATCACCATAATACACAGTCACAGTTCCTGGCAACATTATGCTCAGCATGTGTAGCTGATCCACAGCTCCTCTCCCACCCATGCGGGATGGAATGCGCGGCCAGTCATGATTACCCGACTGAAAAGTGAATTAAGAATTTGTAACATATAGATAGCGATCATACGTAGCATATAATGCCCAGAAAATAAGATGCAAGTGCTCTTATTCCAATGGAAACTTTGCTTTAGAAAGTGTGATCTATTGCTTGACAAGCTTAAAGACCTAAGTACGGGATTCTCCTTACAATTTTTTCAAACCTGAGAAATCAGAGAAAAATACATGTGTGGCATTTAAAGGCAATTAAAGGCATGTGATTTAACGGATAAGATTAGTCTGTTTTACAATTTCTCCGATAATTATTGAATTTAGGAATTGAGGAATTTTCTCGTGCACAATTTGCGCAGTAGTTCTATGATTATTATTGTAAATAAAATAATCAAATTCTGGACACCCCCTAAGTCCCCGTGACTTTTAACAGTTTTTCTTCACTGTCAAGATTGTGCAATTCGAGCTATAAAGGCGGCAACTTAAATGTATCACATGCTCTAGTATCTCAAAGTAACGTTTTCGTAAGTAACAGATGAGGAAACTCAGTTTTCCTTCAAATCAGTGGTTATGCAATTTTAGTCACTCGGGAGTTAAAATAATTGTATCACTTAGTTTAGTAACTATGCGCTCCGTTTATCGTGTAGGACTCATAAGTTTGTAATTAACAGATATAATCCACAATGTTTGTAAAACTGGAACAGTTTCAGACAAGGAGAAACCTACTTGCCATAATCACGCGTTGCGCCATAATGTTACAGAATTGATATTATGACAATGGAGATTTCAACTTCACGCAAACGTAATATCATTTTGACCTCAAAACCTACTTAGATACACGCATGTGAGTATATTGATGCAATCCCGTTAACAATATCGTTTTTACGACATGTTGACACCATTTTGTGAAAAAAACAAATCTGTAACTTGTTGATTTCATGACAGTGTCTTTCACCATTTAATTTTTAGTGCATACCATGTTCCTCACATGGACAACATATTGACCCATGCATGTTTCATAACTATCCATGTTAGTAACAATATAATCTCAACTTGAAACCAACATGACTATAGTTTTAGCAGATCTTTAAGACGGGAACAACCTAGGTTGTCTTTGCAGCGCCCTGAGTCTCTCAGAAAAAAAGGATGAAGACTTAATAAGACCTTCGATTAATTTTTAGCCAAGTCCCCATTTGGATACGATTTCTTGCAATTTTTTCTCACCAAATACATGGTATATTAAAAATTCAAGCGACACAATCACTGTCGAGAAACTCCTCATGAACACTTACCACCCAGTTCGGGAATTGGTACCTCTTCAAGTTGGCTAGGTATTCAACAATGTTTCTGTGGAGAGACGGTGCATCAGTCTTGTCATTTAGATCCGTAAGGAACCGGAAGTTGAAGGGGAAGTGTGCGCCCGGCTCAAACACTGAACCATAGTAACGCATAGTGTCCTCGTGATTGGTGTAACCTTCGGTCGTCAAAAATCTGGAAAATGATATCAGAATTCAATTGCAATTTAAAGTTCGCATTTTTGCAATTAAGTTTTCCTATATCGTATAGTCAATGCGCATAGGAATTTAAGTTGTCGAAAAATGAAGGAGCTATATTCCTAGTAAAAATAAAACATCCTATCAATATCCGCCCTTGGAGGACGCTTTTTGTTGTCAGAGGACGATTTAAAATTATGAGGGTACGCATAAGTACAAAAATACATAATAATTTTTAATAATTTTTATAATAATAATTTTTAAATAACAATGATTTTAATAATATTTTCAACCAATCTCACTTTAAAGTGAAATTTTCTATTAAACTGTAAAGATGCGATTCAGCTTATCAATATTAATATCAAATTTTAACGCGTCATGGGCCTCAATGCAGTTTTAAATCTTGTAATTTGTTTTCTCGAAATATTGAAAATGGTCATACTCAAACCTTTCACTCACTGAGAACTGCATTAAAAGAAAGAGGCGAAAATGTAAAATGGAACTGTCTATAAAACAACCACAAAAAACGTCCACTAGAACCGAGAAAAATCTTTTGGGAAACTTTATACTCTATGATATTACTTGGATAAGTTACAAATAAAATTTGTAGATTATATTTGTGTTCTCTTGATTGAAAGAGCCATGCACAAAGTGGCCCATTTTTGGGCCCTCGAAATTGGGGTCGAGGTGAGGTTTTTTTCATCCTTAGGGTGACCCTTTACACATACTAAAATTTCAGATTGAGTATACGCACCGTTTTCGAGTTATGGGGGGACAAAGTCCCCGATTTTCACCCATTTTTGCAGGTGTTTTAATGTCGAACTCCGGCTGTTACGAGGTACCAGATCTAGATATTGAAG